TAGTCCGGGCCCCTCGCTGCCTCGGCTCTCCTGCCTGCCTGCTGTGCTGGGGAGCGGCCCCCTCTGCTCTCCCCCCAGCGGGTGGCAGATGGGCTCCGAGGCGGGGAGGTCTAACAGGAAGCACGGAAACGGGCTTGACAGAGATGACAGAGATGGAGAACCTGGTAGACAAGGGTGCTGCTGCTGTTGATGACTAAGAGCGTGATGGTTTGAAGACTAGAAGGGGCTAAACAGGGGTTATTGATTGTTGGAATCCAAATGTCTTGGTCGAGGCATAGTCAAAGGTCTAGACTCTAGAGAAAATAACAAATGTTAATGATAATAAAAAAACGTGTTGGCATATGTTCATCATTGTTTGGCATTCCGGATTTGACCCACAACCTGCCTGTTGACGATCTCTGAGCTAAAGAGTTGTGAAGAGCTTTAAAAGGATAGGAAGCGTGAATCCTGAATGTGATATCTCTGAGCTTAAGAGTTGTGGAGAGCTTTGAAAGGATAGGAAGCGTGAATCCTGAATGTGAGGAAACTGGGATTAAATGAAGAAATTAAAAAAAGAGGATAATGCATTTAGAATGGATGTTCAGGGGAAGATATTTTGACAGCTTTTTTTTTTCCAACAGTGTGTGGTGTGGGAGGATGGCTGTAGGAGATAGTCCTTGAGAGTGGGGAGGAGAGTTCTCAGCGGACTGAGCAGAAAGAAAATTGCAGATTTGTAGGTGTATTATGGAGGATGAAGCAGCAACATTTTTGGATGCTGCCTGGATATTTGTAGTAAAAAAGAGCCATCAGAGATGAGTTGTCTCTCCAGCTACAAAACTTCATTACAGGCCTGAATGAGAGGAAGGTTAGAAATAGTATTGATAGTGACAGAAAATTGGAGAAGTAGACAGACTTTCGGAAGGAAATTATGAGTTCAGTTTTGGCTGAAATAAATGTAGAGTCTAATTGATTTAGAGTTGTCAGACACAGGCTGAGATGTGGCATTGGCAAGAATTTAGAATTGGAAAGGTAGATCTGAGAATTTTCTGTTGCTTTTATACACCCACACAATATTTAGAGGAGAAAGTGGATAAAGACAGAGTAATATGAGACAACAGGAGAGAGGAGGAAGAGGACCAAGCAAACGTGATGCCAGAGGAATAATCGAGAGATAGAATAACTAGGAGAGGACAGAGTTCAAAACTGTCAGTGCGAAGTCTCATCTCTCCACATATCATAAGGCATCTGTGATCAGCAGTGTAATATCAAAAACAGCAGAGAATTCAAGGAGAATGAGCTGCTGTTTTATTTTATTTTATTTTATTTTTTTTAAGTATAACTATGATTATTACTATTGGCCAGACATAGTTTTGATGACACATTTTCCTGCTTTTAAAAAACCCAACATCTGAAACTTTAATATAGCGGTTCTCAAACTTTTTGGACTCCGGAGCCCTTTACGTGCATAAACATTTATGCAGAGGCCCAGCGGTCCACTGATTGTATGTGTTGTACCTATCGATGTTTCCAGTTTGTCAACCTTGCGGAGCCCTGGGGCTCCGCAGAGCACAATTTGAGAAATACTGCATTGGTGAATATTTGGTGTTATTTAATATCTTTGATTTTATGAATTAGTGTTGCTGAAATTTGAATATGAAATGTTATTTTTAACTATGTAATGAAAAATGTTCTGAAGACTTTTCATAATATAGGTGATATACTTTGCCTTTTTCAGCCATAAAAAATACAGAGCTATTCTGAAGAAAGAGAAACGAAAGAAAAAAAGGCAAGCACTTGCCAGGTTAAGAGATTCAGGTAAACAACTAAGCCTTTATTTTTGATACTTTGTAACAATGTACCCATTACTAATTCTTATTAGGAGAAAGAAAGGAACATTAAAATATGAGCCTACTTTTATGATGGTCCAGAACACATACAATTTTAATGATGCTCCAGAAAAATGGAATTTATAATATAAAATTTTTCTTTAGAAGATAAGTACATGTAGCACAATATTTCCCACATACAATGTCAGATGACTTACAACAATGTATAGTAAATATTTTTGAAGTTTCTTAAAGGTTTTCTAAATAAACCTTAAATTTAAATCTCTAGGATTAAAAAAAAAAGAGTGCACTAACACATTCATATCTTTGATTAAATGGCATTTTAAATTTTTAATTTAAGGAGAAACTATTTTAAAACTAACGTAGCTCTAATTTGAAGGTTTATATTATAGCATTTATGTTATATACAGTGATTGAAGCCCAGGAGAAAAAATTGTATGTAGAGGGACGTGTTACTTTTTCCTCAGAAGTCACTGAAAAAGATGAACCATTGTCTGAAGAGGAGGAACTGGAAGAAGAGGAAAAACAACTTGAGGCTGAAAGGTAAATAATCTTGTGTTTAAAATAATATCGGCAGCTGAAAACTTGTTTAGTCTTTTATTTAATTAAATATTAAAATCTCTGACAAGTAAATATATAATTTATCCATATTATGCAGTTTAGTCAAATTTTGCTGAAAATTTAACTGGATCCAACAGAGTTTCCTGGCAACAGAATAAAAAATGGAAGTATAACTGTCTAAAACCCTGTTTAATTTTCCCTGATTTTTCCAGACTCAAAATGGCATTTTGATATCAAAAGAACCTGGATAAGCACCTTTTATGGGGAAATTTAATGTTAGGACAATGTCTTTGTAATATGCTGCAGTGTTCAGTAATTATAATTGTATTTAATAAGCCTGCAACCACGGTACATGAAATATAAACAAAAGTATGTTAACAACTTAGTGATGGACTCTAAACTTCTCTTACTAAGTAATATCCGATTTTATTGGTAGGCAAAAACTACATGAGGAATGGTTGCTGAGAGAAGAAAAGGCTCAAGAAGACTTCAAGGTCAAGAAGGAAAAAGAAGAGGCCATAAGAAGACTTCAGGAAGAAGAGGAGGTGAAGTATAAACTGAGATCAATGTTTAACTGTAGTATACTACCCATCCTTCAGGAGAATTATTAATGTCTTTCTTTTTAATAGCAAATACACAATACTTGAAGTCCAGTATGTTTATTTACTTCAGTTTTGATCTTAAAAGACACAAACCATTCACTGCTTACCAAAGGATATCTGTACATCTAAAAACTCAGAGGTAGAAAGGTTACAATATATAACATGGCAAGGTGGATAAAAACCCTATATTTTAATTCCAGTTTATTGTTAAAAATTAAAATTTAATTTGAAATGATGACATGAAATATATTAAGGCTTATTTTACTATAATTTATTAAAATAAATTACATAAAATATTTAATATATGTTTGATGCCAAGTTTTCAAGAAGTTCAACCAGCTGAAATGCTGAGCCAACTTTTGACAGCAGTGACTCTTCAGTAGATTACTCCTGGGAGAATTCTGCACCACTGGGCACTGGGATAGGAGGGGTTGTGCATGTATATTCCCTCATCTGGGCTTTGGAGGGGTAGGGGGCAGAGAACCAGGAACTGGTTTGTCATTTTGATGCAGATTTCCCAGGTGTAGCAGATATACAGACAGTATTATCTTCATCTGAGTGTAGTCAGTAAATTCAATTAATGGGGATTTTAGTTCACTCAAGCTAAGAAACCAATGAGGAGTTGAAAAAGCAGAAAAGCTTGTTTTCTTCTACCAGTCTTGGAGTGAGAGAATGAGATCGACTAGTTCTAAAATCTTGACTGATTTGGGACCAGAAACAATCAGTTCAGTTGACTCTTTACAAATTATATTTCCTTTGTTTAATTAATCAATTACAGCTTGTACCTTCTTGGTCCAGTATCCTTGGGACCTGTTTGGCCCCTAATGAGGGAATTTGCCGGACTAGGGGAAGTCCCTTGCCACAGCCCCTCAGCCTATTGTTTCTTCTTGCTGCTAGCTCATTCTGCCTGCTGGGCTGCCCTGACCCAGGCTGTCACTGCCCCGGCCCTGGCCTCAGCCTCGCTGCCAGATGACATGCAGTCCCAATTGGGCTGTCACAGCACCAGCCCCGCTGCCGCAGCCCATGCCAGGCTGCCTCTGCTGGGTGGCTTGCGGCTCTGCCCCTGCTGGCCCCACCCAGCCACCCAGCCAACACCAACCCCATTGGGCTCCCAGCTGCTGATCCTCCTGCGTCGGGGCACTCTCATCTAGGAACATCAGTAATCTTTATGTGCCCCAGATGTTGCCAGACCCGAGAGTCCCAGTTTAGGTATGTGCAACCTGTAGTTATAAATGCAAAGCACGATTTGATTATATTTTTTCTTAGGTATCGAGTGCATTGCAAGTAGTTTCATTTAATGACAAAAATTGTAAAATGCTGTCTTTGTGCATCTTTATTTGAATTGAAACAGAACTTGACACACATTGCAGGTAAAAATTATCTAGAAAATGAGAAATGCGTCAGTTACCATTTTACCATAATAATGTAAACATTAAGAATCTGAATATATGCAAGTTAAACTATGTAATTGCTTAAATGTATATAGATATATATTGTGTATCTTTTTGGTTTGCAAAAAATACTATATTTAGTGGAAAGTCTCTGATTACCATAAGAACTTATTGATTATTTAGTTACAAATAAATAAGGGTTTCTTGTTTGCTGATTTAAACATGATTAAAATTAACTGGAGATGTGAATGGGTAACTGGTGGGGGCTGGAGCAGCTTGCTATAGGCGGGAGCACTTCAGCTAGTTGGAGCAGCTTCTGTCTGCAGCAGGTCCAGACAGGGTGTAGTATTCTGCTGGAGTAGGCCCCCTCCACAGGGGCATGCTCCATGCCCGCTGCCCTTTTAATCCGTTAAGAGGTTAAACATTACGTGTAACTAGTTAGTCAATTAAACAGGATTTTACATCCCTAAAATTGACTATTTAAATGCTTTGATATGTTTATAGCTTTCTCATTCATGTACATTCTGCTATATTTTTGAAAATATTCTTTTAATCGCTTACCAAGAAAATGAAGAGTTTATGTATTTCTTCTCAAAGAGAAAAATAAAAGAAGAATGGGAAGAACAGCAAAGGAAGGAGAGAGAAGAGGAGGAGCAAAAGCAACAGGAGAAGAGAGAAAGAGAGGTGATGCCTGCACTAGGAGGATAAACACTCTGCATATCCTCTTAAAGTACCAGATGTAACAATCTACAATTGTATATAAATGCCAAAAGTTAGCTTGACTTTATCTGCTTATTGGAGTTAAAAATGGGGAGTGGTAAAAATGGATCTTGTGTTTCTAATACAGGGAAATAGACTCCAAATAGTTTATTATAATGAAACCTTCTACTGTGGCTAAGAATTAAACAAAACTAGCTTCAAGTCCTGCACATTTCTACCCAAACTATTGGTTTCATGTATAACCCTTCCCTTATAACTATTTGCATTGGGCCAATCTTAACATATATTGGTGGTGCCAGTTCTCGCATTTTCATCCAAAATGTAACATGTTTAAGATAACTCTTAACATAGTATTGTATGTTTTCCCTATAAGACATCTGAGCAGTCTTAGTGTAATCATTTTAAAGAAAAAGGTTCTTACATTGATCTAGAATTATATTGCTGCTGTTCCTTAACAGTGTTCTTACTCAAAGGATGTTACAGATCCCCTTTACCTGACTCATTCATCAGGATGTATCTTTTTCATAACTTTTTTGATGGGGAAGAACATAATATTGAGAAGTATTAAGAGCTGCACAACTAATTTAACCAAAAAGTGATTTGGTAGAGTATCTGCTTAGAATTGAAAGAGATGGTAGTTGTCTATTTGGATTTCGTCTTCCAAAGATCCAAAGTCAGGTTGACCCATTGCTCTCATGGAGAGGGATGATCACAACTTTCTGGAGTTCATCTATCTTGTTTCAACTTCTCCAGAGCAGCAAGAGATGAAAACTGATCTGATCATTCAGAGCTGCTTCACTAGAAATGCCGACGTGATTCAGCCCTCCGCCACATTCAAGTAGCTGCAGCAGGAGAGAGAACAAGTAGTTTTTCCTGCTGCCTTTAATAATGGAAGATAGCATTGAGGCTACTGTACATAATATTTCTTCAGTACAAGCAAAAATGTAACACTGACCAGAATTGTCAGTCTCTTTCTGGAACTACTGAGGAAGTGATATGGGGGAGACAGCCACCAAGATATAGCTATCATCATCTGGATGAAGATAAACTGAAAAGTAAAATGGGGATAAGTGGGAGAAGTTAGTAAACTAGGAAGTTAGTAAATTGGTCCAAATGCAATAAAATAATGGAGACTGACAGGATGGATGGATTTGGTTCAGCAATCAGCACTGTCTTGGCTAAGCAGAATTATGTCCCTCATTCCCTGAGTCAGCAGGAGCTGGGACTACTGCAAAATCAATTCCATCCATTACTCCCTTTCCTTCCACCGAACAGAAAGTTGCTATGGTGCGTGTTTTCTGTGTATGATTCTAGATGTCCAAACCAAGACATAGGTATGAGGAGAACCTCAAACATAGTGGGATAGACTGAAATGGAGAGAAGCAAAAACAATAAAAAGATTGAAATGAGAACTGAAGAAGAGGAGAGTGGTGAAATTAAGGTGGTGTGAATTCTGGAATCCAGTAGATAGTGTAAGAAGAGCACTGCCAATCTGACAGAATAAATGTCATGTTTAAACTAAAGAGAGTGCATATGTGCTGCTTCTGGCCAGTGAAAATTTGTGAATTGTTGGCAAAACTGATTCCATGGTTCTTCATGGCCATCTGATAGTGGCCCATAGACAATTAGCTGGTCTCTACATCTTGTTTTCTCTCTTAAATAGCACTAAAATTAATGTAAATACATTATATGCCCTCCTAAAATTCCTTTTTAATGTAAATGTGCTGTAATTGCACAGAAACTCTGTATAATCAATGCTCAGAGGGGAAGCAATCTACATCATTGTGACAGGGAGGAAAGGTGGCTGCATGTGCTGAGCATTATTAATATGTGGTTCCGTTCATAAAATGGTTTGAGAACACCAGAGCTAAAATTAAAATCCAAAATCAGCCTTTAAACTGAACCTCATGTGTTATACATGTGCACACAAAAAGAAATTTAAATTGTGGAGGGAGATCCCTCATGTAAGCATAGTTACAATTTTGTTGTTAATATTGCTCACTTGGCTGTGTGTATGCAAAGAGACCTACAACTAGACATATTCAAACTTATGTTTCAAATGCATTTTTAATACTAATATATATTAAGAGGCTTCACCTGAATGCCATTGTGTATATCTCTATGTGCGCTTATCAAGCAAAGTGTTAGTGCCACAGATAAGTTTAGGCATGCAAAGTAAGATATAGTTCAGTGACATCTGAATTAGAGCAAGAGAAGGCTATTTGTTTCAAAAGTAATTTTGTGAAGCGGTCTGGCTTTTAGATATTAGAAAATTGTCATCTACATTGAAATCTTCTCAGATGTATCCTTTAACATTATAGGGGGGGCTTGATTTACTGCGAAGCAAAAATCAAATTTTCAGCATTTTTAAAACCTACCACTGGACTTCTTTAGCGTGTATGGTCATTAAACATTGAGTTAGGTTCTTAACTAAAGAAAACAGATGAATTACCACCCTTCAAGGTTTTCACTAGTCCTGTGTTTGCACCATTTATAGGAAGCCGTGCAGAAGATGCTGGATCAAGCTGAAAGTCAGGTATGTTCAGTCTCTTTTCAATAAAGAATTGAAAGATGATAGTTAACTACCATCTGACTTTTACCTTCTGACATGATATTCATCTTTTCTGAGAACCTAATGGCCTTATATTATTTAATATGTAATAGTTTCCATTAGCCACAAACAATGTATTTATTAGCTGCAACCTATAATTTTGTTGCACATTTGTGGCTATTTGGCAGCAGTGTAGCTATATGTGCTTGTGGTTGGTTAGGAGAGCCAGATTTAGAATGACTTTGGGATTTTCCTTTCCTTTTCAATTGCTATGATGGTATGTTTATATTGAATAAAAGAAGTCTGTAGCCGAAAAGAGTACTGAATCTGAAATACCCAAGAGATTCCTTCTTTATCTGGAAATGTACAGATCTCAAATTGGTAAAATTCTGCAGAATGCTGTAAGATTAGATCTCAGTGCCTGAATTCAGTCTTTCCATCTCTGTAAAAGAAAACAATGTATTTTATCTCACCCAGGCAGTAAAGGTTTGTAAAGAGTCTCTCACTGAATAGACTCCTGCACATCTGAAAAGTAAAGTTAATAGTTACCAATTTCAGAGTTGATTGCTGTTAGCCACTTTGGAATATTGTTGGGTTCTCAATTATATTTAGACCAAGCAAGGGAACTAAACTTGCTTGACAAAAGCCTGAATGGAATACTGCTTTGATTGCTCTTCTCCAGAAGTACCAGAGGTGTGCTTTGAGCCCTGTACAATAAAAACAAAGGAAAAATACAATGTATTCGATTTTTAAATATCACAGCTGAAGCCACAAATGACATTTTGATCCCGCCTCCTGCCAAATGGCATTATCACCAGTCGAAGGCTCAGAAATGCCAACTGTAAATACTCATATAAATTTCAGTTATTTAATGTGGAAGCGTGGCTTCGACACTTTTCTAAACTGCTTCTCTTATTAATATGGGTGGTCAAATTCACCTTTTCAGGGGTGCTTTCATCTTTGCTTCCACTCACAGATATTTTCCATTTCTAATCTTGTATTCAATTTTAGGAGTCCCAGGCCAGTGAGTTCAATACAGAACTAGACAGAGGGAATTCTTGCGTTTTAATCCCAGTCATAGCTCTGACACTTTTTTCCTGTGGCCTTAGAGCCAAGTTACTTTAACTTTAGTAATTCATTTTTTTTCTGCCTGCATATAAATTCCTATTTGTTAAGTTACTTCACTGGGCTCTTGTAAGAATAAATTAGTTAATGGACACAGCCCTCAGTTCCTGCCAAAAAAAGTATTCAGCCCAACTCAGGATTGGGGATGCAAAGGTATCTTTAGCCACTGTCAAACACTCCTAGTCCTAGGATTGCTATGCTTGGAGATGAGCCTCTTCCCTGAGGTTATCTCCTCCCCCCCCCCCCTGCTGGAATGTGGACTACCCAAAGGCTGAGTACTGTCACTGTTTGTAAAAACTTAATGTATTCTGGACTCTGGCAAATGGGAGATTTCCATTTGTGCCCTTATAAGTTCACTTTTTGTAGAGATGCCTTGAATCTGAGTAGGTATAAAGGAAGAGTTGTCCATCTTTGGATAGATTAAAAGCACTTGGATCACCATACAGAGCAGTGATATTTCATTCAAACTTATCTGGATATCAAAGGAAGTAATATTGAATTATATGAGAGTCAAATGTGACTCCATACCTTCATATTCATTTATTTACTTATTTTATGATTTCCTGTTTGTTAAAGTAATGATATGTTAATGGTGTTTTTAAACAGCTGGAAAACGGCACTACCTGGCATAACCCAGAACCTCCAGAGAACATAGGAACAGAAAAAGATAGAGCTAATTGCCCATTTTATATCAAAACAGGATCCTGCAGATTTGGAGACAGGTAATTGGTCCAATGTTGGGAATATAATATGTTTTAAAAAGGTTAGCTTCTTTGGGATTTCTTACAGGCCTGTCAGATTATCTTGTCACTACTGTTGGTGGGGGTTTCTTGTACACTTACTGGTTTGGAGTCTGTTCTCAGTTATACAGCTGTGAATTCAGAGTAAAAGGAGTGCACAGTCTGAACTGGGCTATCTTCTTTTATTAGAATACCAAATACTAGAATACTAAACTGCTAATAGATAGGTCCCCATTTTGATCTGATTGATTCAGCAGAAGCATTTGCAGTGGCAGATCATTATGCCATTGGAGTATATCCAGTTTCCTGTAATTATTGGTACAACTCTAAAAGATGATATCCAGTCAGATGTCTTAATTTGCATACAATGCACATAAACTACTAGAAAATCAAGTCAGTATATATCTATCTACATGACCGGAAGTGTGTCACGTGATTTCCGATATCTCATTATTTGTACAGTACACATTGTTCATCTATTAATACATTTTCTCAAAAAGTGCTCTGTCAGCTGCTTTAAAGAGATCTGCAAAATACAGGCTACAATAACTTAACCCTGGAGAAGCTTCTTACTATCTTTGGCAATTAATGGCTGGCTTCAGTCCTGAAGGAGAGTTGGTATCACCTTTAAATTTCATCCTAGCTATTTCAATTTTCAAATTAACATTTAACCTATTTTAATCTTTCTAAGCTCTTTGTCTCAGTGGTATCTTGTGGCAGTGAGTTCCGTGGGTTAACTATGTATTGAATAAAAACCAAAAATTAATGTCAGGGGTATAAATGTTTTCTTTTAATTTCACTAATCCATTTCCATATTATGAGGCAAGGTAAACACAACTGCAAGACTTTCTAATCTTTTACTTATCGCCTCTCAAAACTTAATAAGCCATAATGTGATTCCATGATTTGAATCACATGTATTGCCTTTCTTACACACTCCTCTGTTATGAAATACATGAAATTAAGGGTACAGAAGGTCAAGAGGGTGTGCTCTTACTATCTTGCAATAAAAGAGATCAAACTGAAAAATAATACATTTAAATCTGAAGTGAAACTTTTTGTATAATTCAGAAATAACCTGTGAAAATCACTGTCTACATGTTGAAGTTGATCTTAGTAGGATTCTAAGTGAGAGTCTTGTCAAAAAATGAAAACATATTTACAGTAAATGGGACTTGAGTGTGTGTCAGACGCTAA